TCTCGGAAATGGAGCCCGGCATCCGGGCAAAGCACTGATCTTACGAGACGAGATGCGAGAGATGAAGGCCCAAAGGACAACGCTTACATTACTTCCTAACAACAAATTCCGATAAAGCCTTTCACTTCGTAGGTGGCCGTTCTGAGCGCAAGAGTCTCTTGGAGAAGCAGCAACCGGCCCAGACTGCTCAAGCGCTGGCTGACTCCTGCCGGAAACACAGATTGGAACCATTACAGGGCAAACGAGGTAAGCAAACTGAAATCTTTGGGCTGGGGGGGCCTCACCCCTATTCTGCGCCCACACAGGCCTTCAGTGGTCAACGATGAGAGGCCGCGGAAGGGAGAGTTTTGGCGAAGTGTGAAAGTTAAGGCTGGAAGGCCTTAATCGAGAGGGCGTTTTGGATCTAGACGGATGTCATCCCTGAGGTAACTAGCCAGGACACGAGTTTCTCCAAACAGAATTGCCTCGGTATCACATGCCCGAAAACTCTTAAACTCCTGGCACCTGCAGGGAGCTAGAGTAGATTTCTGGTCAACATATAATCCTACAGGCGGGCTAGCTCTCAAACCCAGTGCATGGCTTTCGCGATGGTTTGTGGGCTTGGGGCTTGGAAACTAATTTCAATAGGTCGCCGGCGATTGACGATTATGCTCCCGCAACTCGGACTCCGCCAGATCAGAGAAAGGTCTTCGGCGTTCGAGTTGCTTGGTGGCCGAGCAAGAACTTAATGGAGGAGTCTTGGGGACCCTTTTGGGGTTTAGTTTGCCTTGGAAACTGCTTTTTGACTTGCCGTTGGTTCTTCACGGTAGTACTGATTGTTTTCGCCACCTTTTAGGGACCTGGCCTCGGTCGGTTTTCCCGAAAGGTGCTGATACTACGCTAAGCCGCTAAGCGGTGTCTGTATCACCGGAGGCACAGGTGGCTTGCGATAGTTGTGAGTCGTGGTTGTCACGCCATAAACATACCAGAGTTATCCGGTCTTGAAGGCGTGACTGCGCTCGCAGAAAGCTCCCAACCGAACAAACACAATGCAAGAGCTGCTGACGGCACAAGTCTGGCACGGCTGCTCGCTGAGACGGCTGGGACTGTCGATTGGAACGCATAAACATTCACCCCCCATGTGGGGTCACTGGTATATAAGTCTGTGTTGCAGCACGCGCAGTTGTAGTCTCCTGTCCCTCCGCTGGGCTTCTGACCATTGGCATGCTGGAAATGAGAAAACCCTTGCCGGTAGCAAGTGTCGGCGCAGTCAGCGAATGAATGGTACCCAAGCCAACCACCCTCGTTGCACCAGCACAGCTCGCACACGCTCGAGTAGCCTTGAAGGACGCCCTTCCATTGGTAGACGTTCTGACCGAGAAGATGATCCTGGCCAGTGTTCAATGTAGGGGAAGCGCAGCACGAACATGGACCGGAGAAGTCATCCCGACGTTGAAAGAAACTTGTCTTGAGCTCACACCTCTCGGCACAAGCTTCGACTTCTTCTCCCCATGGTGACCGTGAGGTGTCACTGACCGGGCACCCGCAATCGCTACAAATCGTAAACATTCACACCCCATTCAGAGTCACCGGAGGGTGCCGAGCGGCAGCATGCACAATTGAAATCCCCCCTTTCTCCGTTTGGCTTCCGACCATTGCCATGTTGGAAACGAGTAAACCCTTGCCTGGAGCAAGTGTCGGCGCAGTCGGCGAATGAATGGTACCCAAGCCAATCACTGCTGCACTTGCACAAACTGCAGAGCTTCGAGTAGCCTTGAAGGACGCCCTTCCATTGGTAGATTTTGGTCCCATACATTGGCCCAGTGCTGAAGGAGGCCGGCGGGGCGCTGCAGCACGCGCATTGACCAGAACTTTCTCGAAAATGAAAAAAATTAGTTTCGAGCTCACAGCTCTCGGCACAGCTTTCGGGCCCTGCTGCAACAAAGAAGTTCATGGCTGTACATTCACAATCGTCGCAAAGCGCTTCGATACTGCTGCTGACAAACCTTAATGGACCATCGGCCAGCACTGGGCGTATGAGGCAAAGCGGCAGCGACCAGCGAAGCATTGTGACTTCTACACTCCGCAGAAGCACATGTGCTTGAGATGAAGATACAGCCGAGAAACTAGCAGCGGCCCATACTCTAACCGAAATCCAAGACTCGACCCCGAAACTCTGCACAACACATTCCGGCAGTCTTGTCGAAAGCTTGAAGCAAGTAGAGACGACCACAGGAACCTTGGATTCAAAAAGGGCGGTCGAGGCTTCATGGGAACAGCAAGCATCATCTACTGGATCTACCTTCTGTTTCGACATTTTCTAGGTCCTACTTGTGAGAAAGCATCCAGCTCAAACCAAACTCCGCTCACCTCGAAGCTTGAAAACACCGAACATCCTCGGACCAAGGTGCGCCAACCAACATGGATCGGACCTCGCGGGGTATGTCTCTCGAAGGCAGCTCCGAACTGTCGTTCCCACCTCGGTGCCAGAGTGCTTCGAAGACTTCATGCCACAGGCTGCGATGAGGCGGTTTTGGGCAGCTACAGATACTTCCAACGTTGAACTTACTTCCGTCCCAGCTGCCCGGCTCGAAGGCCAAATTCTCGCGGTCGGGCATGAAGAGAATCGCGAGGTGGGGTGCAGGAAGGTCCTGCAGTTGAGGCCATAGGAAGAAGCTGTTTGCTTCCGTTCGCTGTGCTCGTGATGCGAAAGCAGAAAGTCTGGTCGGTCCTTCGCATGCTGGTGGTTCGAGATGCGGACTGTGCTCGTTTGCCCCTCGCCAGACCTCGGTTGCCAACAGCTTCTGCGCCCATTGCCTGCGCCTCACAGCCTCAAAGCCAAACGGAAGGCTGCCCGGAGACCTCAAAGTTGGCTTCAGCTGTCTCATGCCATTCCCCAGGATGATCACCTCGTGGAAAGTACAATCTCTGGCATGGAGCGAGGACCCTGCAGCTTCCATAGGCAGAGAGAGCAGCAATACAAAAACTCGCACGCGCGCTCGTCGTGGGTAGTTGAAAGCTTCAAAGGGTGTGCGTGCAGGAGCAGCCTCGAAGCACAGCGAGCCCTGGCCTGGGTCGGAGCTCGGTCGAGCCACGCTGCCTCAGCGCGGCCGCAAAGAGCCCCGACCCCGTGCAAGGGGAGAAGGCGACTCTTTTTGTCTCTCCAAAGCCCCACTAGCCTAGAGGCCTAGCTGCCCCTAACACACAAACTCTTCTCTGTGTTCTATTTATGCTTGAAGCAGCCGAAAAGCATCTTTGAAGTATCCCTGCTCGGCAAGCGCGCCTTCCACCTGAAAGACTGTCTCGTTTCAGCGTGCAGGGGAGCTTCTCAAGATTCGGTGAGTAAGGAAGTCCTAGTCAAGTCCTAGTCTGTTGCGAGTGATTGGGCCTCCACAAGGAGGTTATAAAGTGTCTTTTGGAAGGGTGTCTGCTTAGGACCAGACCATTCGAACACACGGCACCCGAGAATACGACTTCCTCAAGCATCTCAGCCTCATCTGTGGCCGCTAGCACCCAGATGACACGCGGCCCGCCGCTTCGGCGATGAAGGCAGCCTCTTGCACCTGGAGATGAAGCCCAAAGGCCTAAAACCTCTCCCGACAGCTGGAGGCCGTGCTCGCAGGTGCTTGCAGGTCAAGGCTCCGAGTGCCACCTGTGCGAAGGCGAGACACCTGCTCAGAAATGCGGAAGATTCAGCCAGCGTTCAGGCAACGGACCAAACACGAGCACACTTCATGCAAGTTTTCCGGGGGTCAGTTAGTAACTTATTCTGAGCCGAAGGATCATGGTCCTCTTCTCCTTTCCTGCTGCAAGGAATGGCAACCGCTGGGGTCCTGGTCTCACATGTGGTCTCTTGAGGCTAGGGCCCCTCCTTCTGTTGGACTCAGAGCTCGACATCGCTTCCATGATTTTCAGGGTTGGTACCTTCGACCTCCGCACTTGGACCTTCTTTTGTCAGTAAAGGCCGACGGATGCAAAACCCTTGATTCTTTGTTGGGAGCGCTCGACGCCACGGGAGCCTGGCCCAGGACAGCGCTCGGCGTTCTAAAGGCGGCTCTGCGGCGTGCAGCTCTCCTCAAAGAACCCCTCCAGACTCGGATTGAGCTTAGGTATAGGCGGCAGGACTGGAAATGTCCAGAGAGCAAAGCAACACGGTGCTATCCCGGTGTTGAAGCCACGGTGCGGTAACCTTCGCAGAGCTCCAGGAGCGACTCCCAGTGCTCTTGCTCATGGTCGCCATTCTCCTGACAACGGTCCCAGAGCAATTCGCATCTCTCAACATCAGTTCGCCCGCTGTCGCCAATTTCTTCGGTGGTCCTGAGCCGGACGCATTTGCAACCCATGGCGTCGCAGGCACCCACAAAACTGTCGGGCTTTCTGGAAGGCAGTATTCCAGTGATGAGGCAGCTGCTTGGGTGATCGTGCTCGTGGGAACGAAGTCTTACTTGGAGAGGCGGGGCTTTGGATGAACACATCGTACGTTCACCTTGAGACCTCGAAGGGTGGTAGTCGTAAGACGTTGGTTTTTGCGGCTTCGAGGTCGGGCTCGTGTTGCGCCTGTTTCACATGGGCTTGAGTTGGGCAGCTTCGCCTTGGCTTCCTGAGCCCGAAAAGCTTTTGAAGTCCAACAATGATGGACCGGGAACATGAACTCCGACCCGCGAATGACTATCTGACTGCCATGTCATAAGCCAACCTTGAGGGCACCTAAAGATTCTGTTACCATGCCTGCCAACTCAGAAGCAACACCAGCAATGTTCGGAACGGCGCCCCCCCCGTCAGATCATACCTAAGAAGTTGCTGCAAATTCTTGCAGGACTTCCAACTGTTTGCACGCCGAGCACAATGCGACCGTTCAGATGTGGTTTTTGACACAGGATTCGATGTTTCATGGCTCTGGGAAGGGGTGCCCCGAGGCTTGGACTTGGAATTTCAGAATCTAGAAAGAAACCCCCTCTGTCCCGGTCGCAAGGTTGGCGCTATGTACAAAAACGTCCCCGGCGGGACGGAGATTTTCCACCTCACTGCAGCCACTCCGCCGACTCAACCTGTCACGGTGCCCCGGAGAGAAAATCTGGTCGAACACCGGCGGTCTCCCCCTTTCGAAGCTTTGACAGGGCCTTTTCCACGAGATCCTGAAGCCCTACAGACCCCAAAAGAAAAAAGCGCATAAGACGTGGAAGGCACACAAAGTCGCACTGTGGGAAGTTCTGCCGGATGTAATCGTTCCCCTGCTCCTTGGCCAAGGCTGCTGTCTGTAGGATCAAGAAGACGTTTTTTTTCTCACTTCGCAGTCTGTAGTCACTGTAGTGTCTGCTGGCAAGCTGCCCAAACCTTTCAAAGCTGAAACTTCCCCAGATTCCAGACGAGGCCGGTGCCAAAATTTGCACTGGGTCAGGGCCTGTGCCGCCACACTGGGGCATGTCGCCATACCTTGGTCTGTTTGGGATGTTTGGGGTTGTCGGGGGGCCGGAAGGGCCCCCGACTCCTTATGAGCTCATGCTGAAGCCAGGCTGCCCTGTGAAGAGCTTGTGTAGCCTCGGCAGAAGCTTCTGATACCAAGCAAAGGTCGACCACCCGGCAAGAGTGGGTAACATTCAAAGCAGATTCAGCTGTCTTTTCTTGCCATTGTGCTGTTTGTGCAGTCTAGTGCGGGGCTAGATTCATGCGGAATGCAAACCAGTGCTGCCCCCCCCCTCACCGGGGCCCGGGCACTGGCAAGGACTCCTCGTCAACTCTGCCAAAAGGCGTTTCCCAGCGATTCCTGGCCCAGAGGCTTCCACAGCAGATTACCCAGGCTCATAACCCGCAAGTTGAGGCCGAACTTCACCAGAGGCCCAGAGGCCACTCCAACTTCTCAAAGCTCAGAGCTCTATTTTTGCAGGCTCAGGGGCTTTCCCAGCTGTGGGAAATCGTCCAGGAAGATGCAGACGGTTGCTACGCGGGAGTCCCTCGGCCGAGCGGCTCACGCTTTCGAAAGCCAAGTGGAGGTGCTGCTTGGCACAGCCCCAAAAGGCTGTGCATGAGGGCCCCAAACTGACACCAAAGCTCGCTTCTCACAAGGCGATGTGTGACCATGCTCCTCCTATCTGTCTGACACTCACAAAGTCAACAACAACGCATCTTCTCGGTGCCCACACCAAAAGCAAAAGTTGCCATGGCTCGCTCCAATCACCAAAACGGAAAGACGAAAGACCTGGGACTCCTGCGGTGCGGCCGCTGCGAAGGACACCATGCCCTCCTCGCAAAGCAGAGTTTCACCCCGTGCCAGCTTCAGGTCGTCAGGCGCAGAACCCGGCAGGTGGGCCGTTTGGCATATCACCGAGCCGGCAGCAGAAAAGCGTATGAGAACTCCTTCTTCCCCGCCCTTCCCTGGCAGTCCAGGATGGGCACTCCCCTCAGCTCGTCGTCTTCCAGGGCCTGCGCTTTCAGGCACAGAGGGAGCAAGCACTCCGGGTCCGGATTTCGAACGTTTATGCCGGGAGTTTGCGAAGCTGTGTGAATGTGCAGAAGGCTGTGGTTTGAATTCACGTCCGCCTTCATCTCCCGCTAGCGGTTGTTGTCTGCATTGCTGAACATCTTAATCTGGATTCTATCTTTCTCCACTCGGGACCGTGGCAAAGCAAAGGTTGCGTTTCTCTACGTCCAATGCGCATGCGTTCGGGGAGCAAGGCTGTCCGAGGTCCTGACGCATCACAGATTGAAAGGAGTTGATCCCTGTTCTTCCACACGGATCCTGCCGACCCTCTTTCTGAGCTCAGCCCACTCCTTCCCACTTCTCGAACTGTCTGTCATTTCTTTGTTGTGCCTGGTACTTGGAGCTCCTTTCCATGTCGCCCGTGACGCCAAACTGAACCAAGAAACTCGACACCTGAGCACGGGCACCGGGAGTGAGGATGCAATGGTTCTCGGTTCTCGAGGACTGACATAATTACGGACGCGAGCTGCGCCTTCGAGTCTTAGAGGCGCATCACTCGGCTCCAACAGCTGCGAAACGCTCAGTAATCCCCCAAGGCACTGCGCGATAGACGGCGAGATCTGTGTAGTACCTGCTCTGGCGTTGGCTGTCGGAACATCGTGTCTCCGAGACCGAGCGAAGGATTGTTCTTCTCTGTCGTTACATAAGAAAAGCCACCTTGCCACGCCTTCAAGACTTGACGTGCGCTTCCTTTTCTTGACACATGAACATACAGGCGTTCCAAGCACACTGGAGTCTGGCAGGATTCTCCCTCTCTCCCTCGCTGCACGCCGTGGCACTTGTCCGTTACCAGCTGCAAGAACCGCTGTGCACCCAATGGGGCCCAGCCAGGTACCACCCTGAAAAAATCAAGAGCCAGCTCGTTCGAAACAGTCTGCCCAATTAACTAAGTCAGCTCAGCGAGAACACGAACGAACGAACACGAACACACACACACACACACACACTCAGTGATTCCATTTTGCTAGGTTGGCGTGCATTGTGCCAGGCGTCATGTGATGCACCTCATGCACCAAATATCTAAAGCCCCTCCAACACCTTAAACAAACATGCGCGAAACACCACTCTTGGGTAGAGTGAGAAGACGCAGAGCAGCAGACATGGGCATGCTGTTTGGAACGACGAAGCAACCAAGCCCTTGATGCCGGAGTCTCCATCAAGCCAACCACCACCAACAGAAATACAATCGACTTGCCCTCCTCCCACAAAGGAATCCGAAGCCAGGCTGTTACAAGTCTGACGCTCTGACCTCATCTTGAGGAGGCCCTTGCCTGGGCTTACAGCGAGGACTCTGTGAGAGAACTGAGCTCAGGAACGCCATGCAAAAAGATTCACTGCCACAGTGCAAAGTGTTAAAGTCTACGAAATGCAACCAAGCTGCTGGTCCTCAGTGCAACCCTGCAGACCTGGCGAAAGGCAAGGCCGGGCTGTGCGGGGCTCGGGGATTCGCTTCGGATCCGTATCTTCGTAGTTTGAGGCGTCAAAGACCCTTGTGCAACTGGCAGAGAGCTCCTGGCCCTCACCAAACAAGTCAGGATGTCATGTGGTTGGCACAGATCCTGTGCCTGGCAGCAACTCTGGAGCTGGATTTCTGGTCAAGAGCATACTTGACACACATCTTGCAATGATATGCGGCCCTTGCTTTTGAAAGCTTCTTTCGAAGCAGGTCCGTCAAGGCCAACGGGGGGTTACCCGTGCAGAATGTCGTTCTGCAGTCGCTGAGAGCATCTCTGCTGCCGCTCTACAGTGTTGGCAGAGCATTAAACCAGGCAAGCAATGGTCTGCATGCATAAGATTGGAATGAATGAGCCCCTAGCTAGAGCGTCTGTTGTGTCGGCTCTTGCTGAATGAAATCTAGGTACGAGCCCCAAGTACAAGCAGCAACGTGCAGGCAGCACGACGTCTTGCGGCGTCTTCTGCAGGCACTCTACGGACTGCATCCTCACAAGCGACACGACAAAGCAAACCGCTGCTAGTCGAAGGCTTCGGACAACCCGAGAGCCGGGGAAGGTCCCATTGAATGCATCCAGGTTTCAAGCCTTCAAAACCCTGAAACTTGCCCACCGAGCTAATGAGAAGCTTCCTGGAAACCTCCACTCATCCGACTGCAAGATATTTCCTCGTTTCTTCGTTTTAAAGTCCTCCGGACTGCACCGTGTTGGCCGAAGCCTGACTTGCTCAGGATCTGACAGTTGAGATGCGTCGCACTCTCCACGAATGACCTTGCACCAATCCGGAGCCCTATTGTCTAGCTGGGGAGAAGGCTTTATTTGAAGGGGGTTAGAAGTTCTGTGCTTTCTGACCTTGCTCTGCCCAGGGCCAGAGCGTGCTTTATACCCCACTTGCCGATGTCATTCTTCTCCATGACCATCCTCGTCGGAGCAGCTCGGATGGGATTTCGGCAATGGGGTTTGTGGAGGACAGCGATACGGAGGACCGCGCAGGTTTCGGAGTTTCGCAGTCTTGCAGTTATGGCCACGAAGTCATGCGCCTTTCTAGGGCGAGTCTGGTTGACACGTGCAGCTTTTGGAAATGGGCTGCGCGGGGGACTGTGCTTGCTTTGAGACGCATGATCAAACAGAGGTTTCTCGGCACATGCCTTTCCCACCCGGCTGACAGAGTCGAAATTCGTCCGAAACCTGTAGGAAGAAATCGCAAGCCGCAGGGACCTCTGCACTCCTCATACACAAAGGCCCAACACCAATCAAACCACAGGCAGGCTTAAGAGGAGAGCAGTGCCGCCGAGCCAACTAAACTCAACTTGCGAAAAAGGAGTCTTGGCATCCCGAACGACCCCGTAACGAGGACACCGCTCAACTCACAAGCGGAGTCTAAGCAGTCCCGATCACACAGGGAACAATCGTGAAAAAAAACCTAAGAACCCAGTAGGTCAAAGGGTTTAACGGTTTGGCTGGCAACGATCAGACCCACCGTAGTTTACCATAGTGTTTCAATGCGAAACGAGTGTCTGCGACAACCTAAGGCTGTAGCCGTGCTTGCAAATGTTCCGAAAGTCTTTCTGAGCATGCTTGGCCAGGAATCCTCAACACCCGGACACTCAGGCTGCGGCTGGTCACCGCCTACCACATTGTTCGGAAGAGGGATGCGGAGCACCACTTCATCCGGAGCGGACACCTGGCGCAAGAGTTTATGCTGAACCGCTTAGACATCAACTAATATCGCCAGATTCGCAGCACATTTCCGACAACTCACCGCCCAATGCTGAGCAGCTTTGCTTGGGCGATCCATCTCAGGCATGCATGAGCCCGGTGCTGGAAGTTCCGCTATGTCCGCGGAAAGTCCCGCACCAATAGAACAGTGCTCCATTCAGCAGTGCACTGTTGGATAGCGGCGGGCGCACATCACAACAGAATTCCTGGAGATCTGGGCACGACCGCGTTTCATCAGCTGCATTGTTTGAGGATTTCCGTGTGTCCAGATCTTCAGCACTGCCCAAAAAGCCTAAAACAGGTTGCAAGGATGAGTCGACTGCCTGCCACAAGGACAGTGTTGCAGGTGAAAGTGGACCCTTGTCCCTGCTGACGAATTTCTGTCAAGACTGCTGCAAGGGGATGCGCCTTGTCCTACTTCTGATTGCATCCTTCAGATTCGTGAATGCCCATAGTGTCTTCAAGGTTGCGTCCCACTGCGGCAGCCCTGGCTGCCACGCATTAGAGCAACCAATGAGGTCGGCGCCTCAAACGTGGAACAGCCCAAAACACAAGATAGGCTCTAGGAAGAGCGCTTACCTAAACGTTGTCAGGTTTGGCGCATGGGCAGGTCCCGACCTCCGTTGCTGGCTCCACTGTTCGAGGCCCTCCTCTGGGGACCTCCTCATACCCAGAGACAGGGCCTCTTTGTCGGGAACTGCGTGAGCAGGTGAGTTCACTGTTGGACTCGTCCGGCTCGCTTCACATGCATTGCAAAGAGTTTTTTGGTCGAATTTACAAACAACCTCCCAAGGAGTCAAGGGCACTTCATGCCTCAGATGCAAAGTGCCATCCATCGGGCTGCCTTCTGGCGATGATGGCCCGAGGGCGGCCCACGATGTGCTGAGGTGCCCAAACGCCGGTCCAGCTGTGATCCACGGATGGCTGATTGGCCATGGCGTTGTTCGACTCCACCTCCACGGGGTAGTGTTGCGGAGGAGGGCCATTGGGGCGGAAGACCTGTCCAGAATAGGGACTGGGCCTGTACTCCACGCCGCCGTGGTACTGGCTTCCCGCCTTGGTCCAATGGCCTCGCTGCTCATGGATGTGTCCGAAGAGGTGCACTTTGGGTTTGGTGCGGTAGATGGCGTCGAGCAGTGCCGTGCTGGATCCCCAATGGCCGCCTCCAGTCATGTCGAAGATTCCAAACGGGGCCTCGTGGGTAACGACGATGTCAACACCTTCTGGGATGTCTGCATAGTTGTTTCCGGACCGGGAATCTCCTCTCCGAGGATGCCAGCCGGCACCCCAAATCTTCAGGCCCATGACCTCGGCGAGATCGTGATTAAGGACTCGTGCATTCGTGATCCTGTGCTGGAAATAGGCCGGATCCTGGGCGACCTCGTTGGAGATATGTCCGCGGTTCAACCTCCAATTGGTGTCCCAGAAATCGTGGTTTCCAGAAATGACGAGGATGTGCTTGTACTTCCCCTTGAGGCTGCCTAGCCAGTCGTTGAAATCTCCCAACTCGCTTTCTGAACCGACCTTGGCCACATCCCCCGAATGAATCAGAATGTCGGCATCCGGCAAGTTGCCTGTGCTTCGATGGAGGCTATGCGTGTCGCTGATGTGCAAGATCCGGACAACATCGGGGCCCTGCGCTTGGCCCCCGCGCTTGACCTTCAGTCCAGCTGTAGAAGCCTCGGTCTTGTCTGCAATTGGCGGGACAGGGTCGACCGCTTTTGCATTCGTTGCGTTCACGGGCAGCTCTGTCTTGGAGCTTGCTGTGGCTGTCCCATTGGTTCCCTCTGCGCTTGCGACGGCAAGCAGGAACGCAATTAGCGATGCACGAAGAAAGGCCATCGAAGAAAGCTGGATGCCCAAGCCTGGCGGAGCTTTTGGAGTCCTCTTTGAGCCTCCTTGCCTTGCGGCCGGACAAGTGAAAGGCACGCAGCT